CGTTGTTATGCCTTACTATACTATGACGTTTTATGCCTTAATATCCCATGACGTTTTTTGATGTTTTTATGCCTTACTATACTACAACGTTTTTCGACGTTTGTTTGACGTTTTTTGACGTTTTTATGACTTACTATACTAAGATGTTTTTTGACATTTTTATGCCTTACTATACTATGACGTTTTATGCCTTAATATCCGATGACGTTTTTTGACGTTGTTATGCCTTACTATACTATGGTGTTTTTTGGCGTTTTTATGCCTTACTATACTATGATGTCTTATGCCTTATTATAGTGTGAATTTTTATGCTTTACTGTACTATGACGTTTTCTGACTTTTTTATGCCTTACTATACTATGACGTTTTTTGATGTTTTTATGCCTTACTATACTATGATGTCTTATGCCTTAATATAGTGTGAATTTTTATGCTTTACTGTACTATGACGTCTTCTGACTTTTTTATGCCTTACTATACTATGATGTCTTATGCCTTAATATAGTGTGAATTTTTATGCTTTACTGTACTATGACGTCTTCTGACTTTTTTATGCCTTACTATACTATGATGTCTTATGCCTTAATATAGTGTGAATTTTTATGCTTTACTGTACTATGACGTCTTCTGACTTTTTTATGCCTTACTATACTATGATGTCTTATGCCTTAATATAGTGTGAATTTTTATGCTTTACTGTACTATGACGTCTTCTGACTTTTTTATGCCTTACTATACTATGATGTCTTATGCCTTAATATAGTGTGAATTTTTATGCTTTACTGTACTATGACGTCTTCTGACTTTTTTATGCCTTACTATACTATGATGTCTTATGCCTTAATATAGTGTGAATTTTTATGCTTTACTGTACTATGACGTCTTCTGACTTTTTTATGCCTTACTATACTATGATGTCTTATGCCTTAATATAGTGTGAATTTTTATGCTTTACTGTACTATGACGTCTTCTGACTTTTTTATGCCTTACTATACTATGATGTCTTATGCCTTAATATAGTGTGAATTTTTATGCTTTACTGTACTATGACGTCTTCTGACTTTTTTATGCCTTACTATACTATGATGTCTTATGCCTTAATATAGTGTGAATTTTTATGCTTTACTGTACTATGACGTCTTCTGACTTTTTTATGCCTTACTATACTATGATGTCTTATGCCTTAATATAGTGTGAATTTTTATGCTTTACTGTACTATGACGTCTTCTGACTTTTTTATGCCTTACTATACTATGATGTCTTATGCCTTAATATAGTGTGAATTTTTATGCTTTACTGTACTATGACGTCTTCTGACTTTTTTATGCCTTACTATACTATGATGTCTTATGCCTTAATATAGTGTGAATTTTTATGCTTTACTGTACTATGACGTCTTCTGACTTTTTTATGCCTTACTATACTATGATGTCTTATGCCTTAATATAGTGTGAATTTTTATGCTTTACTGTACTATGACGTCTTCTGACTTTTTTATGCCTTACTATACTATGATGTCTTATGCCTTAATATAGTGTGAATTTTTATGCTTTACTGTACTATGACGTCTTCTGACTTTTTTATGCCTTACTATACTATGATGTCTTATGCCTTAATATAGTGTGAATTTTTATGCTTTACTGTACTATGACGTCTTCTGACTTTTTTATGCCTTACTATACTATGATGTCTTATGCCTTAATATAGTGTGAATTTTTATGCTTTACTGTACTATGACGTCTTCTGACTTTTTTATGCCTTACTATACTATGATGTCTTATGCCTTAATATAGTGTGAATTTTTATGCTTTACTGTACTATGACGTCTTCTGACTTTTTTATGCCTTACTATACTATGATGTCTTATGCCTTATTATAGTGTGACTTTTTATGCCTTACTATACTATGATGTTTTATGCCTTACTATACTATGACGTTTTATGCCTTATTATACTATGATGTCTTATGCCTCCTTATCCTATGATGTTCTTTTAGTTGCCTTATTATACATTTTTATGCCTTACTACACTATGACGTTTTTTTGACGTTTTCATGCCTTATTATACTATGGCGTTTTTTAACATTATATGCCTTTCTATACTATGAATTTTTTGGACATTTTCATGCTCAACCATACTACAACGGTTTATGCCTCATCATACAATGACATTTTTGAAATTTTTAAATCTTACTGCATTTTTTTACTTTTTCATGCCTTAATTGCCAGGTTTTGTAGCTTAAAGCTTATTAAACAAAGAAAACAAGTCTTGAATACAGAAAAGAATCAAGGCCGGGAAACCAAAGTCCAATAACCAAAACACAAGGAGAACCAAGGATATTCAAACATCAAATCTGTACATGGGAAACACTGGAGTAAAAATCACATGGAAACTTCAAAAATCATGACTGAAAACATACAGAAGTTCCACAGCAAACAGGAATAAACAAGATGAACTTCTTCACAGAGAAGTGAACAGGGAGGAGAGGAACAGGGTTAGAGAAGGAGCTGGGGTTCACAAGGGTTCAGCCCGAGCGCTTGACAGACAGGCAGGGCACCTCGGAGGAACAGCCCTGAGGCTGAACAGACAGGCTGGGGAAATCTGGGGGGATGGCCAAGAGGCAAGACAGACTGGGGAGAATGCAAAGGTTCTGCCTTCACCCTAAGGTCTGGAGACCGACATCCAAGACCAAGTTTCTCCAGTAGATGATGGCTGGCCCCCTTGGGAAGCTGAGCAGGAGGGCACCAACCAAGGCGGGCCAGGTGGAGCCTTACTGGAGGGTGAGCAGGATGCCAGTGTTGCAAGCGGAGCCCTTCTGGAGGGCTAGCAGGAGACCGGTGTCGCAGGAGGAGCCCTTCTGGAGGGCGAGCAGGAGTTGGTCGGACTAGTGACTGGGGATCAGGAGCAGGAGGCGGCCAGACCAACCAACAGGAGATCAGGAGCAGGAGGCAGCCAGGCCGTCGACAGGATACGAGGAGCAGGTTTCGGCTGGACCGCCAAATGGGAATCAGAAGTTGGCCAGACCGCCAAATGGGAACCAGGAACCGATGTTGACAAGACCACTGAGGAGACTCGAGGAGCTGGAGGCAGCTGGACCAACGACTGGATATAAAGAACTGGTGGCGGCCAGACCAGTGACTTGAGATCAGGAACTGAAGTCGGACACACCACCGACTGGTAATGAGGGGCCGGAATCTTCCGGACCAGCAACTGGAAATGGCGGGAGGGAGGCAAGGAGGCAAGGTTAATAGAACACAGGTGAAACACATTAGTGCGGGGCAGACAATCAACAAGGAGGGAAACAGTACAAAGACAGGAAGTAAAATAAACACAAGACACACACGGGAAATAATACAAAATAAACCAGGAAATGAAACAAATGTCCACACATAAGAGTCCAAAAAGTGTTCAAATTTAAATAGTCAAACAAAGTCCAAAAGTGTTCAAACATAAATAGTCATTACTATAGTATGATTGACATATTCATGACATATTTGTCCCTATATCAAGAGTGATGTTACCATATGTGTCATCTATAAGAGGATATATTATATGACATATATACATCCTCTGGATATATGAAGATATAATTTTATATGAAATACTCATAGTAAAATTCAACTTTATTAAAACAACATGCTTATTAAAATTCTATATGTTTTGTTTAAGATTTTATTAATAATCTCTTAATAATCGTCTTTCTATATATATAATGAACATATACTGACCGGCTTTGGGATGGATATATATTTATGTATGTCTATAATATAAACCTATAATATAAACAGACATAATAAAATACATGTTTCTATTAACTAGACATATATGTCAATATATGATATTGTTCCAATTTCTAACAGGTTTCACATGTAATTTTTACATATAAGCTATATGCTGTACTGTATACATATGATTTTACTTCATGTGGACATTTATTTCATATATGAAGATTCAGCACATGTATATCTATTACATTTGTGTATGGGCATTTCTGAATGTAAATTCAGATCTATGTTAATAAACCATTTGGTTGACAGCATTAAAAATTCAATCTCTTTGTTTTGCAGGGGTGGCAGGGTTGTTGTGTCTCTATCAATGTTGAGACCAAAACTAGGTCCTTGGCCGAATCAAATTCTGCTTAGGACCCCATTAAGGGCCGGCTCTGACGTTAAGGGGACGTTCGCTAGATGTTCTCTTAAGGTTATACAAATAATAACCTCCCAGAAAACCTTCCTGAATTACCTCAAGGGGACGTTCGCTGCGGGATCCAACGAACGTTCTCGCACTCGCGGAACGTTCCCAGAACGAAAATTGTTAGCTGGGATGATCTTTTGTTATACCTTCTAATAAAGTGCCCATCAGTACTTAATGGTTAAATATTGGAGATGATTAGTAACTCCTGAGCTGTATTATCTGATGCCAGTTACATTTAGAGAAGTTTATATTAGCTCTCGATCAACTTCAACAGTAAAATGCTGTTCACAGATTGATGCATGTGTAATAATAATACAATAATGTAATATATGGTAGGCTTGGCTAGTCTAGTCATTTTTTATGAATTAGGTCATTTTACATAGTATTTTTTTTCTAATAACACTCCTGTACTTTTACTGTGAGTACATTTACTGTATACAGTGGTATTGATACTTAAAGCTTCGTTTACGAGGAGTCATTGAACGCACCATACGTTATAGGCTGTTGTACTGAAGTTGCCCACAGGAGCTGAGAGTCGACTGTCCAGTAAACTGATGCAGACTAATGTGCGGAGGACTGCAGCGACCGCAGGCGATCTTGACGCTTCTCTCGCAAATCTAAGTGATTTTGGATGCTGTTTTTTTTCTTGGACGAAGGAAAATGCTTTAGTTTAAGATTTTTTCTACTATGACTTTACTCTCTACCTAGTTTACAGTTTTTCTGTGAAACCTGTGCATCTGCAGCCTTCTTAAAGTTTCCATAATTGTTCTGGGGAGAGTGTTTTTTAATCTGCAGAGCTGCAGCCATGCAGCAGGAGCTTTTATTTAAAGTCCTGGTCATCGGGGACTTGGGAGTCGGAAAAACGTCCATCATCAAGCGGTACGTCCATCAGATCTTCTCCCAGCACTACAGAGCCACCATCGGGGTGGACTTCGCCCTGAAGGTGCTGCAGTGGAACAATGACACTGTGATCCGGCTACAGCTGTGGGACATAGCAGGTCTGTCTAACTTTACAGGTTTACTAGTTAAAATGTGTGTGTGTGTGTGTGTGTGTGTGTGTGTGTGTGTGTGTGTGTGTGTGTGTGTGTGTGTGTGTGTGTGTGTGTGTGTGTGTGTGTGTGTGGTGTGTTTTTGGATCTGCTGGAAACAAAAACCTTTTGTTCACTCCAGCAGATTGGTGAAAACGCTGTTAGTTGAGCTACCTCTGGAAATATGCAGTTTCTTCAGATTAGAGTGAAGTTTAATAGATACGTCAGGTATTTTCCTAGTATGATGCGAGAGAGTGTGTCACATTGTTTACTAACACCAAAAGTGAGTTTGGAATCCAAGATGATAACAATAGAATTTGGTGTTAAAACTGGGGTACTAGTTTATCATGTTACGTCATATTTATCATAGAGATTGGTGGGTCATATCTCAGGTCAAATATTTTCAGACAGCGTGTGTTACAATAGACCTATTTTTACAGAAAGATAGTCCGCTTTGGACATTTGTGAGGTTGGATAGCAATACTATATTACAGACTCACATTGCTCCACCTTGAGGTCTATAATCATGCAGGATTTCTGTTTTCGCGCGATCATTATTGGTAGTGACATCTGGTGGGTAGATAGCTAGTCTATGTTTGTGATCTGATTTGCTTTTCAGTGTTGTGGCAATGGCTGGTGCCGGACATTCCCTGAGTGCACTGTCATCAGTATGGGCATATTGGTCATCGCTACAAGTGAGTTGTGCACTCCGATCAAATTGACCACAGACTTATTTGGTGCGGTGTCATAAAAGGTTATTGTGACACCTCTAGGTGGATTCTGAGTCACAGGACACTCCACTGAGATTAACCATCTAATGATATAGGTGCACCAAAAATATATTGACTGTAAAGCATCATTGTAGGATCCACTAGTTAATGTCTCCAAACTTCACTTTTGGATGTAAATGGCCATGACAACGGAAATCCAGGGCACTCATGAGGTACACAAAATGCATGAATACACACCATCTACATTACTTTGCCTATCCATAAAGTCTTACTTTCTGCCATATTTGCGCATTATCATCACATTATGCTAAATCTAGGCGCTCCTTGATTGCTTTTTATAAGAATCATAAGTTATTATTTTAGTCGATTTCGCATAGTTTTCATTTGAATGAATATTTTTGAATTACATAGTATGATGGTTGTCTGTTTGGGTTGGACCAGAATATACAATCCGATTACCTCTAGGATCAAGGTAGGAGGTATGGGCACTAAACTGCACTGTCTCTTACCTGTTTGTTCCTCTCTAACAAGAACATTTCAAAGGCTGTGTAAAGAGAGAACAAGTGGCGATCCTTAGGAGGAGTTGGTAGGGCTTTTTTCTTGCTTGTTCTCAGGCCGTCACCGCCGTGTTTGAGGTTTGATAACCGCCTATTTTGCTCTGTGGCTGTTGCAACTATAAATGGTGAGAAGAATCAATATTCGAATATCTGGCATCTCATCCGCTCTTACCGTTCGGATTAGTCCTGCGTCGTAAACAGCAACCATCTAGATCTGACTTTGTTTCGGACCACAATGTCGAATCTGCGAAACGCCGCGTGAGTGTAAGCGTGCACATGCTAGCCTTGGTTCACCTGCTGACCGACAATAAGTTCTTCACATCTAACATCTGTCTAATGGCCTGTACCCTTCTACTAATCTTGAGGAACCTACTAACTTGTAACATGATAGGTATTTTTTACCATACTCGGCACTAACACACAAACACACTATGCTTATTAAGAAGGCTCAATTCTCGACCATATTGTCTTGGTCAGCTCGTTTTATGCATAAGCTGAGTGCTGTATATTGGCTGAGGCTTCTCTTAGTTCTTTGAGGTTCTTTACACCATACGACATTAGAGTGGATTAACCCAATTTATTTAATGTTGTTGGTCTGGGCACTCTGCTATAGCTTCGCTCCATCTAAGGAGCAATTATAATATGTGTTGTTCGCCAAAAAAATTGTCAAAGGGTTAACAAAATATTAAATACATGATATGATATTATCGCTAACAATTAATCATATATCAAGCTTACTTGAGAAGGGTTTAAGAATTAAGAGTGTTCACGGAGTTAATCGAGGTGTCAGTCAGCCTTGTTTGGTCCATCTTTCAATTCATAGAATCTGCCATTCACCTAAAAAACCTTCACCTCAAGGTATTCTTTCTCGCTTGGATGGTGTCAATGCAGAAAGAGAGTCTGAGCAGCGGATTGTTTTGATGGTTGGACTTGAATTGGGCCCACATTGCATGAAATGTGCGTTCATTATTTGCCATACCACGAACAGCGATTTGCCAAAGAATTAATGTGCTTTATCCACACATTGAATTTCACTTTAGTCCTCCATCAACCTCTGACAGGTTGTTTTGAGGTTGTGTGAATGTGTGTGTTGTGAGAAAAGGAGGAGAGAAACTTTTTGGTCGCCACTAATATATAATATATATATAGTATATGATGGGTTTCTGATTGTGTCTTTTAAAATGAGTTTAAAAAAGCCTGGAAAACCTGCACATCCAGAGTGAGGAGTTTGGGTTTCAGTGGAGCGTTAATGGTTCTACATGCTCTTTTCAGAAAGCTTTTTCCATAAATCTCAGAAAGCAAAACACTGCAAGCTTGCCTTCAGATGCGCGTAGAATAGGATTCAGCTGTTCAGAAACACCCCTTTATCGTATCCGAATGTATATGTATAAAAACAGATGCGCTTGGACTGGAGAGAGCTGTTTGAGTTTTTCAACTTTATGTGGAGGTCATAATCTCCAAAGAATGCACTTCAGTTGTTAATGAAATAGGGTTTATTTTCGCGGTAGGTTTGAGAGAGAGTAATGGGGCAAGAATATTTTTAAGTATAGGAGAATATGAATACGTTATGCATTTACTGAGGTTCATGAGTGAGAGAGAAAGTCTTCTCTTCTAACGTCAGGCTTTCCCATAACACTTTCTTATGTGGACATGTACTATCACTAGAGCACATTGGTTTATGCCAAATGACTTAGCTTTCACACTGTCGTACGGCATTGGCTTATTTGCACAAGGTCTAAGTAACCACTTAATACTAATTACCACCGAGGTTATGTTGGCACTATTCTCTTATATTATAAGTGTCCACTCGTCTGTAAGTAAAGATGCCTAAACGAGGAATGTGACTAAGAACTCTTGTCAGAGAGCTTTTTGGCCATCGACAAATGTGTGGCAAGGAGGGTTTTTATGGAAAGTGATGAAACTAACAGTATTATTATATCGATGTGCGTTGATGTTTCCCAAATGTGAATGCACTGTTTTGGATGGCGAGGTGGTCGTTATCTACTGTGTATATTTCACCTGAGAGCCATTAGCAGAAGTATGAACTGTATAGTTGCTCGCAGAAAGGTGAGCCACAACACCTTAGTCTCTTTACTACACTTCGTGATCTTCTCCTCTTGATAGCATTTCACTTTGTACTTTTGATTTATAACATCTCAACTACTAAGTGAATCGTCTTGCTCATGTACTTGATACAGAATGGTTCTAGCTATATTTGTGCTTGCTTTATTAGATAAACCTGCTGCTCTTCATGCAGGTCTTCTCTAGTTCGCACAGTTGCTGATACATAGTCTTTGTGAAGCTTCCTGGCACTCATTACTCGGTATATCATATATCTGTTCACAATGTTTGTCTTTATTACATAGATAAAGGTGACGAGCACTCTCTCAGAGGAGTTAGGTATTGTGAGAGACTCGTTATGAGGTGTTCGATAGTGAAGTAGTTAAAGTTAGCGTGTTCCGTTGTGTTAATTTATCTTGTGCAGTAACGACACCTGGATCCGGCATACCACTCATTTCATTTGTAATCACGCATAGCAGGACGTTGAAGCGGGGGGATTCTGTTAGGGTACGTATTCACAAGCACAGAGCATGTGGTGAGTGAAGTTTAGCTGACTTGCGCAAATACATGTTTTTTTAATACTATCTTTTTCTTAAGCTTATTGGCACCTTCACATATCGGAGGCTGATGCTAGTGTGCCGTTCGTTTAATGGAGCCTATGAAATCAGTTCTACGCGTTAGCCTGCACTGTTAAGGTTCAAGGCAGTGCTAGACAGACGAACAGCCACCTAGGATTGTGTTGATGTGGTGACGTGCGAAGGCGTCTGCTAGAACTTTTCCATTTTGGCACGCAAACGTTACAGGTAGCAACAATAGACGACACATAGAGAGCATGCACTTGGTCACTTTGACTATCCTTTTTAGTCAAGATAGCATCGTATAGTACTGGTAATGGATTACAGGTGCCCTATTCTCATAACCAGTACGTTGACGCAAGCACATATAATTCACACAGTCGAGTGATAAGGAAACGCTTATGATCGCAGAGTTACGAAAAGACTCTGTTGATAGTCAGAATAAGTATTCTAGGTGATCGCAGCCTTGGAGCTTTATCTCACTAAGTGTAACATTAGGCACGCTGTGGTTGTGGTGTCCCAGTCGTATTGTAGCGATGTCATGTCTCCGTCAGGCTTCTCTCGATGCTACATTTGTGTGTTTGAGTTAATGCTATGCGAGCGTAGGTAGATACTGTTGAAGGGTTGTTTGTTTGGACTGTGTAGATGTTGAAGGATATTGCAGAAATATGGATTAACACTAGGCTTTCCACTTCCACACATGTCATGCTCTGTGCTGAGCTTTGTATGTTCCACGTCGCATCGATCAGTGGAGTCTGAGTCATATTTTAGAGTGAGGCAGTAACTAACCTAGATAAATACGTAAATAATAGTGGTTATTTGACACATGAATGTATATGCATCCACAAACCCCCGTCAGACTGCAATTGATGCCTTTGCGAATTTAACATATACACAAGTGGTTTGATTTCATCCTCTTTATGGCATGTAGATATATCTAATAATTATTATGGTTGGTAATAATTCATACAGAGGTCACTGTTACGGGATGGATCGTTGGAGTTCGTTTTATTCTATCCACAAATACCTTATTTTATCCGGATGAC